GGGGGGGGGGGGGCCTAGGCTCAGGGCTCCACGTAACCCCAGGTGACAGTGCACTGCTCTCAGTGGGGCTGGGATGACACCTGCTCACCCTTGAACTGGCCATATGACCCTGGGCAGGCCAATGAATTCTGGAGGTTAACACAGATAATAGCACCTCCCTCCAGGCGGTGAGGGGGGTTAAAAGGACATGGTGCATAACCTGAAACCAACCATGAGGGGACCTCAATCGAACCCAAATGGAGGGGCAGTCTACAACATTAGAGTGCAAGAAAAAATAGGCAAGTTGGACTTTACCAAAATTAAGAACTTTTATACATCAAAATACACTATCAAGAAAGTGAAAGGAGCCCTGGCTGGTGTGACTCGGTGTGTTGGGCATTGTCCCATGCACTGAAAGGTGACCGGTTCTATTCCAGTCAGGGCACACGCCCAGGTTGTGTGCTCGATCCCCAGTAGGGGGCGTGCAGGAGGCAGCCAATCGATGTTTGGCTCTCACATCAATGTTTCAATTTCCCTCTCCCTTCCTCTCTCTAAAAGTCAATTAAAAAAAATTTTTTTTTAAAAAAAAGTGAAAAGATAACTCACAGAATGGGCGAAAACACTTGTGAATCATATAACTGGTAAGGATTTAGTACCCAGAACATCTAAGTCTTCCTCAACAGTACAGAAGACGAATAGCCCAATTTAAAAATGGACAAAGGCCCTAGCTGGTTTGGCTCAGTGGATAGAGCATTGGCCCACAGACTGGAGGGTCTCGGGTTCGAATGCGGCCAACGGCATGTACCTTGGTTACAGGCTCAACCTCTGGCCCCAGTCAGGGTGCAGGAGGCAACCAATCGATGTGTCTCTCTCACATCGATGTTTCTTTCTCTCTCTCTTCCCCTTCCACTCTCTCTGAAAAGCAATGGAAAAAATATCCTCAGGTGAGGATTAGAAATAAAATAAAAAGTAAAATGGAAACATTACTTTAAAAAAAAAAAAATGGACCCAGGATTTGAATAGACATTTCTCAAAAAGAGATATACAAACAGACAATAAGCACATGAAAAGATGCTTAACATCATTGGTCACTTGGGAAATGCAAATACAAACCACAATGAGATAACACTTCATACTTAATAAGCTGGCTATAATAAAAAAAAAAAAATGGAATTTGGTAGAACGTGGAGAAATTGGGAATGTGAAATGGTGTAGCTGCTGTGGAATACAGTTTGGCAAATCCTCAGAAAGGTTACCTTGTGACCCAGCAATTCTACTCCTAAGTGTATACCCGAGAGAACTGAAAACACGTGTTTACATAAAAACTTGTATGTGAATGTTCTTAGCAGCGTTATTGATAACAGCCAAAAAGTAGAAACAGTCCAAATGTCCACCGACCAATGAGCAGATAAACGAATGTGGTGTAACCATATGACGGAACATTATTCAGCCATAAAAGGAATGACGTGCTGACACATACTTCAACATGGATGAACCTTGAACACAGCATGCCAAGTAAAAGAAGCCAGGCCCACGCCCCCAAAAAGCCACACAGGGCATGATTTAATTTATATGAAATGGCCAGAATGGCAACTATATAGAGACAAAAAGAAGACTAGTAGTTGCCAAGGGATGGGGGTAGGGGAGAATAATGACTGACTGTTAATAGATACAGGTTTAGGGGGCAGTGGAAATTGCTGGAATTAGGCAGTGTTGATGGTTGTGCGGCATTGTGAATATACTAAAACCCACTTAATTGTATAATTTAAAATGATTAAAATGGTGAATTATATGCTACGTGTATTTTACCTCAATTTAAAAATGGTTTTTAAAAAATTCTGTGTTCATGAGTTACAAAGCAAGACTCAGGAACAATTCCAGATTAAAGGAGCTGAAAGAAGACATGACTATTGAGTGCAAGGCGTGAGCTCAGATTGTTGGGACAATTTACAAAAGGTCAATAGCTTAGGCAATAACAACAGTTCAATATTAATCTCCTAATTTTCCTACTTGTACTTGGTCAAATAAGAGAATTCCTTATTTTTAGGAAATACGCAATGAAGTATATAGGAGCAAGGAGACATCATGTTTGCCAACTACTCTTAAACAGTCAGAAAAAAATGCAGAGACATGGAGAGAGAAAGTAAGAGAACATGAGTGTAGTAAAATGTTAACATTTGGGGAATCTAGGTGAAGAGCATTAAAAAAGTTTTTGTACTACTCTTGTAACTTTTCCAAAGTCTAAAATTATGTCAAAATACAAGAATATTTTTAAATGAGATGGTACATGTAAATTGCTTAGCACGGGAAGTGCCTGTCACAGAGGAAGAGCTCCTTGAATACAACTCATCAGTTTATTGCTGGTGTTACTGTTAAAATTAGAGACCAGGTTAACAGAAACTTGGGCGCATTGAGGAAACTGAGACCAGGAGAGGGCAGGAAGCTGCCTGCCTGAGGCCATGCAGTAGTGGTGTGGGATGCCCTGCACCTCCCAAGGTGCCAGGAAGGGTTCTCTGGATAGCAGATGCCAAACAAAATGTGTCCACCCTCTTCATCTCTGGGGGCAGAGGGGCATGTCCTGAGCCCTAGACTCTGGTCCTGTCTCTAAGGAACTCTGAGAGGGCTGTGACCCTTGAGCCAACCAGCCATTTGGTAGAGACACACTGGGCCCAGGACAGAAACATGCAGCAAATACTCAAGGAACATTCATTCACTCATTCATTTCACACCGACTGCCTGAGCAGTTAGGTGATACCAGGCCCCTTCCTCTTGGTGTCCCCAGCCTCCAAACAAGTATATAATTACCTTGTGGGAAATTATTTGACATGTGGGAGGAAGGGGCCAGGGAGTTCTGGGAGGCCCGGGTCTGAAGGAGGAGCGGACACTGCCCAAGTGCAGGGGGAAAGGCACCCCTGGCTGAGGAGCAGCATGTCCAAAGGCCCTCAGGTGGGAGACAGCCAGGAGCCTTAAGGACGAAGCTGGGGACATGCCAGGCCTCCAGGTGATGTCAGGGCTACCCTCCCAGCAGGAGCACCTACTCCTCCCCCAATCAGGAAATGGGAGCCACTCAACAGCATTTCATGGAAGAGCAAAAGGCGAATCCGAATCCGAATCCGCATCCGCATCCCGGTCCTCTGTTGCCAGTTCCTCCCTCCACCCGTCCCTTCCCTACTCAGGGGTGAGGGCTCTGGACAGTGCCTGGTGGAGCAGCCCCAAGGAGCTGCCCCTATGCTCATGGCACCAGCTTCTGCCAGGTGGGAGGGGGAGTGGGTGGCGCAGACACCCGTGGGCAGGGCCCCCCAGCTGGATACCAGAGAGGCCAGCCGCTGTGGGGTGAGCTGACCAGAAGGACATGCCCAGGCTCCTGTGTGGCCCCAGGAGGTGGCTTGGCTCTGAGCTCAGCGATTATAAATAGCCTCCCCTGTGTGGGAAGCTCCCGAGGCGACAGCTGCAGCCCAGCCCCCGGCACCCTTGCCCCCATCCCGCAGCCCTAGCATCGGGGGCTCCAGGCCTGGAGCAGGGAGCTGCCCAGGGAGAACCCGGTCGATCCGGGCAACCGAGGAGCCCCTGCCGCCTCTCGTCCCCTCCAGGGCCGCAGTCCCCGGAGTCCAGGGCTCCCTCCTTGCCCCACCCCCACCCG